GGTGGGGGAGAGGGCAAGGCCGGGAAGGCCGGGGCAGGCTGGGGGGACAGGGACAGGGCAGTCAGGACAGGGACAGGACAGTCAGGACAGGGACAGCTTGGGGGATGTGGACAACTAGGGGGACAAGGACAGTCTGGACAGGGACAAGGACAGTCATGAGAGGACAAGGACAGATGGGAAGGGACAGGGACAGTCAGGGGGACACCCCCAAAATCAGATATTTCTCCATTTGTTTATAAAACAAACAGGCAGAAATGACCTGGAAGAGGGACATGGGGTCACTTCCAGGGGTCACCTCCCTGGGGGACATGGGGTCACTTCATGGGGTCACCTCCCTGGGGAACATGGGGTCACTTCCAGGGGTCACCTCCCTGGGGGACATGGGGTCACCTCCATGGGGGACATGGGGTCACCTCCATGGGGTCACTTCCAGGGGTCACCTCCCTGGGGGACATGGGGTCACCTCCATGGGGGACCCTCCCCACGACCTGGTGACCTGCTGGTCACCGGGTGGCCCATCCCACATCCCTGTCCCTGGTGAGTTGGCATCTCTCAGGTGAAATTCCAGCCCTGAGATGGCACCAGGAGCACCCAGGGCCATAAAAGGGCAGGAGACCAGGAAGCCCAGAGCCGGGCAGGGCGTTCCCAGCCCTTTATCAGCCCCTGGGATGTCCCTGCCCTGGGGTGGCACTGGTGACACTGGGTGTTGTTCCCGGGTGTTGTCCCTGAGCTCCAGAACAAGCCTGGGCATCTCAGGTGAAATTCCAGCCCTGAGATGGCACCAGGAGCACCCAGGGCCATAAAAGGGCAGGAGACCAGGAAGCCCAGAGCCGGGCAGGGCGTTCCCAGCCCTTTATCAGCCCCTGGGATGTCCCTGCCCTGGGGTGGCACTGGTGACACTGGGTGTTGTTCCCGGGTGTTGTCCCTGAGCTCCAGAACAAGCCTGGGCAGGTGGGGAGGGAGCGGCGGGGCCGGTTCATCCCCCCCCAGATGTTGGGAAAAACGTTGAGTCAAAAAAACAGGGAGAAAATTCCAGCTCCAAAGGGATTTTTCTGGCCCAGGTTCCTCCCCTGGAGCTGCGGAGCAGCTCGGGAGCAGCCAAGGAATCCTGGGCCCTCCCCAGTCCCGGGATCCCTCCCCAGTCCCGGGATCCCTCCCCAGTCCCTTGCAGGATCTTTTCCACCAGCTTCCAGCCTCTCCCCCCATATCCCAGCAACCAAATCCCAACAAATCCCCGCGAAAAGGGATGGGAGGAGCAGGATAGAACTGGATCCAAACCCAGAGCAGCTTCTCCCTCAGATCCCAGGGACTAAACCAGGAGATTCCACACATGCTTATGGCATTTCCT